TGGTGATATGTGAGGGCACTAGGTTGAATGATGGTGGAGCCACAACTCTTTTTTGAGAACAAAGCAAACAATTGAAGTCACCGGTGCCCTGGTCCAGGATGGGAGTGGGTGGGAAGGGGTTGCCTGGGGGCAAACCAGCATCACTTGGGGCTCTGGCACTGATACCCTTCTGCAAAGGCCTTCAGCACATTTCTTGAAGAAACAGCTGGAAGTGTTCCAGCAGCAAATGTATCTGACTCCAAAAAATATCTTGCTTACATTAGAAGTGTCTGGATGGTGAATAATGTAGAGAGGAGAAAGTGTCATGGGGCAATTAATAAGCTGAGGCTGTACATGGTGGCAAGGAGAAGAATATATTAGGGGAAGTGACAGGCAAAGTCAATAAATAGTGGAGTGGTATTTGGGAAAGGTCTGGCACTTCTGCTGCGGGCTGGGCAGAGCACAGCAGCCCTCCTGAACATACCAACACTCTGTTTTTCTCTAATGCCACCACTCTTTTTCTCCTGAAGCTGGAATTTGCCCATCAGCTGCAGAGTGCAGGATGGAGACAGCAGGTTCCCTCTCCATCCATTCCCACATCCTTCTTCCCACTGGGCTGGCCTGTCAGGGGAGTGCTGTGGTTTGTCTTTACAGTTCCTCCTCCTGAGAAAGTTGTAGGATTTGAGAATTGTAGGTTGTCAGGTGAGGTTTGTTGTGGAAACCAGGGTGGTGCAGGATCCAGACAGCGTGAGGTGAGAGCTGGGGTCTGTACCCCCCTCCTTGTACACCCACAGCCAACAGCAGGGTACCCAGTAAAATGAGAGACCCCTCCAGTCCCTCCAGGGGGTTTGCAAACCCCACTGAGCATCGTGTGATGGGGCTTGGCACAAGGGACAAACCAGTCCACAGAGCATGGTCAGCGATGAAAGAGTAATTTGAGCAGGCAAAAAGATCAACCACAGGCTTTCCCTGCCAAAGGAGAAATATGACTTGGGACAAAAAAATTCCATGTTTGCCTGAGCAGAATAATCTGCAAATGCAATCAACCATTTGGGTAATTGATGTTTCTTGCTGTGCTCAAACTTCTCTGTCAAAACTGTGGGGGAAAAAAATCGCTGCTGAGGAGAAGCTCAGATCTCTGAACTGCAAAGGACACAGGCACAGGACCCAGCACAGCCCCGAGGGAGCTAACAAGAGCACAGAGCAGCATTTGATGTTCCCGAGGCTGCTCCAAGCAGCCCAGCTCCCCAGACCGGGAATCCGATCACGGTAACAAAAGCAAACAAACCACGGTTTAAATAGAAGCAAAAACGTTGGAAGGGAAAAACCAATGAGAGCAAATGTTTACCCCAAAGATGGGATAGTTTAGAAATTATGGCTGGGAGCCAACTCTCCAATATTTTTAGTTTCAGAAGGTTTGCAAGCCTCAGCTGCCAATGTGGCCCTGGCCGCTCTGCCCTTGGAGCAGGGACCTGCTGCAGGTGCAGCTCCAGACACACCTGGGGAGGAGCAGCACAGGTTCAGTGCCTCATCTGGGACACATCAGAGAATGGCTTGCATTTATCAGCTAATTATGATTAGAGCAGAAACAGGTAAAGTAATTACCATGGTTATGGACACACAGTGAAGAAGCCCAGGGGGCATTAAGGAAAGGGAAAACAGACAGACCCTAAAATGCAGTTTTAATATGGATTCATACTAAGAACAAGTTCTTGCTAGCTTTAGTTAAAAGCCCAACTTTGAGAGCTGTTTAAGAAGATGAAGTTCTGGGATTGTTTGTGATAGGAAACCATGAGGGATTAAGGAATTCAAGAGAAAACCACAAGCCTTCCAGTGCCTACAGGGTCTCTGGGAAACCCAGAAAGGGACTTTGGACAAGGGTCTGGAGGGACAGGACACAAGGAATGGCTTCCCACTGCCAGAGGGCAGGGATGGATGGGATATTGGAAAAGAATTGTTCCCTGGGAGGGTGGGGAGGCCCTGGCACAGATGGCCCAGAGCAGCTGTAGCTACTCCATCTCTGGATGGCCTTTAGGGTCCCTTCCATCCCAAACCATTCCAGGATTCAATGATTAAAACCTGGCAGCAGCAGAGGAGAGTGAGGGATGGGAGAATCAGGCACAGCTGCAGCAGCCAGTGCTGTCCTGTGAACACATCAAGGAGAGCTCAAGTACAGAGATAAGAGCAGGCAAAAGAGATAAAAATGAAGATGCTGCCTTGTGTTGTGACTGCTGTTTAAGGGAAGGACAACAATGTGACAACCAAGCCCCCCAGTGCCAGCCCTCCAGGGCAGCCAGCCCCACACACAGAAGAAACAAACCAGGTGTGAACTTATATTAATTTTATTCACATTTCCAGAGGAAAGCATCGGTGGAGTGCAAGGTAATGGCTAGTGTAGAAAAGCTCAAGTATTTGGTTTAAAACAGGCAGATATTTGTGAGGCTGAGCCGAGCCCCTGCTCTCTTCCCTACACGTGCTTCCAGTTCAAGTAACAGGAATCTCCAAAATAAGCTGGCTCATCACATCATGGGGGGGATGTCAAAAACTTTAAAGCTCTCTGTGGTATAAATCCCTAAGTAGGGCATAAAAGTAGCAGGCAGGCAATCTTGTACAGCTGAACTGGCTTATCCCTGGGCCAAGTGTTGGGCTTTTCCTTCAGCAGCAGAGTTTTGCTGTCAGCGATGCCAAATGCTCCTGTCCAACTTTAATGTGATTCATTGCCCAGAGCTGAAATTTGCTGCTACTGGATTATGGGGATGATTGTTGGTGATGGCACAGAAAAAATTTAACAGGACTCCCAGCCGAGGAGAAGAAGAGAAAAAGAGAAAAAATTTGATTGCTTTGAATTTCAAAAACAACAAAAAGGGAACAAAAACACAGCCAGGAATAAGATTTTGAGAACTGGAAATTCCTAATTGCACGGCTGGCCCATGGGAACTTGACACAGCTCTGAGCTGCTTCTAAGGAATCTACCTGTATTGCTAAGAGAATCCTGGGTTCAGCCGGGCCAACAACTGGCTCTTGCTGACATCCAGCAGACTCAAAATCTGCCCAACCCCAGGTGGCATTAACCAGCTTCACATTTGCTCCCCACAGAGCCACAACTTTTGGATTTTTGCTTCAAAGTGCACATTTCAAATTACACAAGGCATCAGATAACCAAAGCCCCTGCAGAGCCCTGGTTATGGCACAGGCCTGGAGCAGGACTGGGAACAGGCAGAGCAGAGTTTGGACAGGCAGCAGGAACAACCCACCGAGACAGGGGAAAGCAGCACTCCCTGACACAAGTGGAATGGCACCAGCAACCGATGAATTCCTGAGTTATGGGGCTAAAAGATGAGATGGTTTAGTTTTGTTCTATATTGTAAATATCAGGGAGTTTTAAATGTGTCCAGTGAAGACACTGGAAGTCTTTGTCCTGTGAAGTTTCTGGATTTAATTGGAATACAGCTTATATTTGGGGAAGGAGTGGGTAATAGATGTGTGCACATTCTTGCTTGCTCTGCAAAGACAATTATCAGATTACAAAAAAAGGCACAAGAAGCACATTCCTCCTTCTTTCATCCCTAAAAGGTTCCTCCTTCTCCCCTGCTGAAAGCACTGTGCTGGCTGTCACTGAACAACCTCCAAGTACACATTTTCCTCTTTGATCCAGCTGGCTCAGAAGCCCCAAGGATTAAAGATTTCTCTCCTGTTTGAATAATGTCACTGACTAGAATCTCATGGCTTGTTTAACTGATTCTCTTCATCCTCCATCTATACATAGTAAAAAAAATGGAATTAATGTTATATTTTGGTTTATTGCTAGAGGCAATCTGCTGTCCCCCAAATCAGGCTCCCAAAGGAAGGAGGTGAAACAGAAAATCTGGAAGGACCTGCTTGCTTGAAACAAGAAAAAGGCAAAATTGCACTTGCCCCACCTGGCTGGGTGTCACAGAGGGGGAAACTGGGGCAAGGAAGGGCTCAGGGTTTTTCAGTAAATCAGTGGAGAGCCAGGAATAAAACAGCCCAGCTCTGGATCTTCTGTTCCAGTTGTCAAGAAACAATTTTGCTTTGCCCAGAAGGTGTGTTCTGTCAAAGGACAGGACATGCCACTTACAATTCAAGTCTTAATGTTGACACTGCATGGCAGAGCAGGATAAAGGAATGTGACTCTTTGGTGAACATCCTGGTTATCATACTAAAAATGTATTTTAATAAATTAAATTCACCCCTTGCCTAGTCCTTAACACTGCAATAAATTTCTCCCCTGTAGCTGCCTGGCTGATATTTAATGGTTCAGCTATTAAATATCCCACCAAACCTGTGTCTTCTCTGTGAAGGCTTAAACTCCTAAAATTCTTATAAAAAAAATATGGAAACAAATTGTTCTAAATATTATTCCAGGACTGAATTGCTTCAGTGGTGCGGATTCTATTTACAATTTTAAGGAACCTTCTGCTTCAGACAAGTCACAAGAACCTTCTCAGCAGCAGGAGGGTTGGACAAAGCGTGTGGGTGACACAGGAAGGGGGAACAAGTGTGTTCCTTGTGTCACCACACAGTCACGGACAGTGTGTTCGCTCTGTTCCCGACAGCTCCTGGGAGCCATGCTGGTGGCAGAGATGCCAAGGGAGCTTGGGGCGCCTGTGGATGGATTACATCACCATGCAGTGCCCTGAGACACCCCAGAGCCTGGCAGAGGCTGAGGGCAGAACCTGTCACACACACACAGAGCACGCCAGGGCTCCCACAGGCTCCCACACACAGCACTCAGCCTCCAGCTATGGACAAAGGGCTGCAAGGGCTGCCTGAGCTGGGGTGGTTCCAGAACAGCCAAACAGCCATCAGGGAGAGTGGCCAGAGGGAGAGCACGAGTGGTGCTGCCAGCAGCAATGGAACAGTGCACAGAGCCCAGCAGGACTCACACCCTGAACAGGGCTCAGAGCCCAGCAGGACTCACACCCTGAACAGTGCACAGAGCCCAGCAGGACTCACACTCTGAACAGGGCTCAGAGCCCAGCAGGACTCACACCCTGAACAGGGCTCAGAGCCCAGCAGGACTCACACCCTGAACAGTGCACAGAGCCCAGCAGGACTCACACCCTGCCATGGGGAGAGGAGAACTCGGGAAGTGCCCGTGGGGAACCCTCCAGCCCAATGTCCATGGGATGCTCCTTACACTGCCTGTGCTGCAGCAGGAACCCCCTGTGCTCCCAGCCAGGAGAGCACAGGCTGCATGTGCAGGAACACAGCCCCAGACTCTGCTCCTTTTCCCCCACACAGCAGCTCTCTTTCTGTTGGGAAGTTCCCTCATTTTGCTGTTTAAGTCCTGATTCCTCTCCAGTCTCACATTCCTGTGTGCTCTGCCTGCTCCCAGAGGCAGAGGAGCTGCTCCCCTGCCCTCCAGCTCTCTGGCACAACACATCCAAATCCACCTCAAGGGGCAAAGGCCAAAGCACTTCACATTCATCAGTTTGGATGGTTCAAAAGAAAAGCCATTTGTTTCTAGGGAATCTGTTTGCACACACACTCTGGCCACTGCTGGCTTTCCAACTCCCATTCTTAGCATTTGGCTGAGAGTGGAGAGGGCAAGAACAAACACACACCAATCCCCAAGTGCTCTTGATGGTGCCATTTTGCCAGATGTTCCTGGTGCAGAAGGAGCTGCACAAAAGCACTGATGGGAGAATTACAGCTAAAACACATCCCTCTGTCTCCAGCAGCAGATGCCCTTATGGGATCTTTGCCTACCCAAAGGCCACCTGCACTGCCATTGCCTCCTGATAGGGAACGACAGGAATGAGGACATTTTGCTTGCTGGCAGAACCAGAGCAAGCCATCCCTGATGGAAACCCGCTGCCCATGCTCCCTTCCTGCTGGGGTGCAAGCTGCCCAGCAGCCAAGGGCATCACAACAACCAGGAGCAGTAGGAAAAACTGGAATTTAACAATCAGTCCTGAAAAGGTCAGCTCCTGAGTCACAGCAGTGAAGGATATGGGGGAATTGCTTTGAAGTGCATCTTTTTCCTCTCTCTTTTATTACACAAAACACATTAATCTCGCTGGTGATCACTCAGTTTTTCAGGCACTATCACTGGACACAAAGCCAGTTTTACTCAAAACTTTCTTCTTGCTCCTGCAGCTCCACCAGTGCTACCCTGGATTCCCCTTAGAACTGGAGGTTTCTTCTTGATCTCAAAAAGAGATTGATATATCAAAACCAATTCAATTACAAAATATAATAATATCCTCTTCTTGGAAGTGAAGCTGCCCCATATTCCAGACTGTGGCAGGATTTTTATAACCTCAAACCATTTTTCCTAAATTCTACTTAAAATGCATCAGAGTCCCAATCCACCTGTCTGGTGTGTTGTAATGCTCACAGCTGAAGATCCATTCCCTGTCAATTCCTCCTGGATCTGCCAAAGGCCTTTTCTCAGTTGTCTTCTGCAGACTTGAACATGAGGATGGCATTGTAGATCTTCAGGGCAGGGCCCAGTTTGATGCTGAGTATTTTAACGATGTCATTCTGCTTGAGGAGCAGGAAGGCCTCGCCATCAATCTGCTGGAGGTTGGAATAGAAACAGGAGAGGGATTAACCACCAAGGGACAGGCAGGATTTCCACTTCTGGTCATTCTGGGATTCTTGCCTAGTTCTGGCCCCTACACCCCATGATATCCTCTTTCCAAAGGACACAGACCTCATGTCACAGAGCTCTCCCTAGAAATGGAGAAGCCTCATGTGTCCTGCCCATGGCAGAGGTAGGACAAGATGAGCTTTTAAGGGCCCTTCTAACTCAAACCATTCCATGATTCCATATGCTATACAGACTAAGGCATAGTGAAGATGCAATATGGCTGGAAAAACAGAGCCTCCTAATCCATCAACAAGGACATATATTTGATTAGATGCAAATTAAGCAACTGATGAACATACTACCATGTGAAAATACAGGATACTGTAGGTAGCAGCGAGTAAAATCATGACACACCGTTTCTGAAAAAGGTTAAAAATTTACTCAAGCAAGAACATCCACAGAGACAACACAGATATAATTAATATAAACCCCAAATGCTGCAGGGAGGAAGCCAAAGATTAATGGACACAGACAAACAATAAGTGTCTCCCTAAGTTATTCCATTAAAATCCATTTACAGAGACTGACAGTGTCTCCTCCTCTCGCTTGATGCTCACCAGTGCAGCGCACAGCACACAGCACTGGACAGTCAGCCCAGCCAGAATAACAATTCTGCTATTTTTGTAGTCTTCCCAAATAGAATATTTTTAGATGTCAATGCCTGGTGCAAGAGGAAACACTGAGTAAACTCAGAGAACACATAATTACAGCAAAGAGCCAGGAGCCAGGAGATTTGGTTTTCCCACCTCTCACCACAAAAGAGACCCTCAGCAAGTTACTTAACCTGCTACTGAGAGTAACTGGGAAGTTAATTCCTGCACTGGGAATGACAGCAGTGCTCCCAGACCACAGATGGCCACACCAAGTCCTTGAATCTTATTTTCAAGCTGCCTCAAGTCTACGCTGCTGCAATGAATGTGTTAAAAATAGCCTGAAACAAATAGGACTGTGCTGCTTAAATTAAATAATAGAGTCAAGAGGAGCAGAAAACTGCTGGAAAACAGTCCTACATTTCAAAATGGCTTTGTGTCCAATATTATTTATTCCTATGCTTCATTTTCACTGCACTTCCTTACACTCACTTATTTTAAACAGTCCTGCCCTGAACTGGACCTTGAAACATGTCTGAGCTTTATTATTCATTCCTTTGTTCCATCTTATTGGATAGGTTTTAGAATTCTGCGCACAATTTGTTCTCTTCACTCCTAATGTAAGCAGCAACTTATCCCCCTCCAGCCCCCCAGCAAGGGAAGTCTGCAAGGGATTTATTTATCCTGGATATGAAGCATTTGGAGGCTGATCCTGGACATTGTGGGGGAGTTCAGCTCTCCTGTCACTCACACCTGTATTCTGGCCAAAGACAAACTGCTAAAAGGGTTTTAACTTCAAACTGACAATATGCTTTGTGCATAAACTGGAAAAACAACACAAGCTCCTCTAAATCAGGTGTAGGGAACCTCACTTTGCAGAAAATAAGGATTAGAACAGACTGTGGCTATAGCACTCTCAGAACCAGAAAGTATTCACTGTGTTCAGGACCAGAAGAAATAAAATACATGGAGAATAGTTGGATTTATTAGATTTGCTGGTACATCTCACCTCTGTATACACCCTCCCTAGAAATCCCTTTAACACAGCTACAGTGAAAGATGGGTTCATTTGAACAAATTTCACTATTCCCACTATATTCAGTTCCTAAGTATTCTACTGTATTGTCACATTGTGGACAGTGCTTTTTGCAAGCCTCTATTTCTTTTGCTTCCTATTTTGTGTGAGTCTGCACAGTTTTTCAAACAAGGGAAAACAAACCACAGATAGATAAATCCACAAAATGCACTGCAGCCTGATTCTCCCTGAAAGGGAGGCAGCTCTGGAGCAGACAGTGATTACAGACCTGCCCTTTCCAGTCACTGCCACGCAGGAGGAGTGGCTCCAGCCCTTCCCTGGAGCTCCTACAGTCACACAGGAGAGCTCTGAGGACAGAATCACAGAACCATGCGATGGTTTTGGTTGGAAGGAACCTTAAAGCTCATCTTGTTCCACCCCCTGCCATGGGCAAGGACACTTTCCACTATGCCAGGTGGCTCCAAGCCCTGTCCAACCTTCTAGGATGGGGCAGCCACAGCTTCTCTGGGCACCCTGTGCCAGGGCCTCCTCACCCTCACAAGGAGGAACTTCTTTCTAATGCCCACCCTCCTTCAGGTTAGGGCCATTGCCCCTTGTTGTGTCACTCCTCATCTAAAGACCCTCTCCAGCTCTCCTGGAGCCCTTTAGACCCTGGAAGGGGCTCTGAGCTCTCCCTGGAGACTTCTCCTCTCCAGGTGAGCACCTCCAGCTCTCCCAGCCTGGCTCCAGAGCAGAGGGGCTCCAGCCCCTGGACCATTCCTGTGGTCTCCTCTGGATTCACTCCAGGAGTTCCACATGCTTCTGACACTGGTGCCCACAGCTGAAGGGAGCTCTGCAGGTGAGGAATGACCGAGCAGGACAGAAGGGAAGAATTCCATGCCCACGAGCTGCCCACACCATGAGATGAGTCCAGGACAAGGCATCTGTGCAAATTCATCAGGAGCTCCTAAAGAACCTCCGAGTGATACCTGCATATAAGGGGAAGCTGAAGCACCCAAGGGATCCCTGTTTGTGATGCACCTACAAAGCTGTGCCAAAAATCAGCACAGCCACCCCCTGTGCCCTTGGAGGTCTCCCAGAGGCCATGGTGAACACACCAGGAACGGGACCAGGGCCCAGCCCATGGCAGTACTGACAGGACACTTGTCACACAGGACATGCTCTGACTTTCCAACCTCTGCTTGTCAAACTAAAGGTTCCCCTCCTGCTTCCAACGATTCCTGGGAAACCCTGAGCTTGCCAGGCTCCCCAAGGAAACAGGAACATGTCCTTGTTAGAGGCAGCAGATGAGATCCTCACTAACCATTCCAACAAGGCATCTCTAGAGCAGTGCCAAGCCCATGGCACAAGGGTCCAAGACAGGATGTTAAGCAGAAGCTCCATGATTGGAACTGCATGGGAAATTTTAAGCAGCAAGATGCAATTAGCCATGGTGGAATTCAGCTCCATGCTGAGGCTGCCACTGCTCTGCAATGAAAGGGCTGAGCAGGTCTGAGCTCTCTGCTGTAATTGCAGGGATCTGCAGCACAGGGTCTGGGCACACCCCACTTACCTCTTCCCTGAACACAGATGCTTGCTCTTTGCAGCCAGGCAAACGCTGGATAAAACTCACCACCTGCAATTGCATGTAAGAGAAAGGAAACACAGACAATTAAAATGAGACATCATCAAGAAAAAACCTCTAATTTGTGTATGAGAATTCCCTATGCAAGAATGTTTAAAACTTTAATACTCAAAACTCTCACATTAATGAAGGCTATAGATTGAAAACATTGCTGGGTTGCTGCTGCAACTCCTCTGCATATTTTGGTTACCACCAGTAACTGCCCCTATTGCCATTTGACCATTTCTCTCCCTGTAAGAATCCAGCTTTTCCACTCTTCTAGAAGGTTCTCACAGAATAAACATTATTTTTCCAGATAAAAAGCTATATATGGCTTAGACTACTTTAAATTCACTCACAATTCCACTTTCTCTACAGTACTGTTGGAAAGTAAAACAAACATGAAAAAAGGATTTAGACAGTTTCCTAAGATGACATGCCTCTAAGAGACAAGATAAACCAACTGAATGAGCACTGCTGGTTTACCAACATGCAAAGGCAGAAGAGCTGGAAAGGAAGATGGAAGGCAGAAGAGAAGGAAAAGAGTTTTGGTTTAATTTAATCTGTGCTGGGTGCACAGGATCCACAGAACCAAGAGGATTAAACAAATAAAAGTTAATTTTACATTTCACATTAGGGAAAAGCTTTCTAGGCAAAGAATCTGTTAACATTTGGAATAATCTCCCTGGACTCAAGCAAGCAGCCCTGGGGTTACATTACATAACACCAAGGAGTGTGAGGAGCAGCCCTGTGTGCAGTCGAGGATGACTTAATGTGCATTGTCTTCTCCAGCTGCAGCTTCCCTGGTTCACAGGAGATTTGTATATTGAGGCGTAATCAGATCAAACATCTCCTGTTAATTGGACGCTCCCTTGCAGGAGCAGCTCTGCTTCATGAGGCGTAACCATGTGAGTTGCTGCAGATGTGACATTTCTTCCCTGTACACAAACAAGCAGTTGGGAGGGGTCACTGTCAGATTCAGGCTCCCTTCAACTCAAAATTGTCAAAGTCTCTCCTAAATCACATCCCTGTACCTCCAGATCATCCTACCCCTAGACTTGGAGTCAATCCCTCCCCTGCAGTTCCAGCCAGGCAGGAATGGGGCTCTCAGAGTGCCCTCCAGGTTTGCTCTGCCCTGGCAGGAGCAGCTCTGGCTCCTGTGGTTTCTGTTATGTAACCTGAAAGCAGAGCATCCCTCTCCTTCGTCCTCCTCTGCCCCTCCATCTTAAAGGCAAACCCTAAATCCACATCTCTGTTGGACAGTGACTCCAAATTTTCTTCTGCAGAAGTGTAAACTATTAATAATCAATACCAAAACACTACTTTCCTTCTGAGTCCCCCTGTCTGCTAACAATTAAAACACAAATGAAAGTCTTTCTGCCAGGTCTGGCTCCTTTGAGAATTTACAAGACAGTTGGACCCTTGGGGCAAGAGCTGAGTGCTCCTCAGTGTCTGTGGCACTGAGAGGCTGGCAGACATCTTCAGGGAATGAATAACCTGGGCTTGCCTTGTTCCTGCATCCTTCCCTGCACAACTGCTGCTGGCTACTGTCACTGACACGCAGTGACAAACCTTTGATCTGCCCCAAGGCCTTTGGAGGGACACTGCAACCACTGGAGAGGCCTCTTGAGCAAAGCAGCCCTGGGGTTCACCAGGAATGGAGAACAGAGAGGGAAGAAAGATGCAAGAGGACAGAATGGGAGAGAAGGTCCCCTGGACATGAGACAGACCCCAGTGAGGCACAGGGACCTGCCTGGCTGTCAGTGCTGGGGAGGAGGGTTCCCAAAGCAAGACACGGCAGCTGAGGGAGGCTTGGGAGCACAAGAACAAAACACCACAGGAATTCAACACAACTCCACAATACTGGCAGGGAAGCCTTGAACCCTGAGAGGCTGAGACAGGGAGGGCTCAAAGTGAGGGTGGGACAGGTGTTGGACAGGGAACATCTCAGAGGGATCAGAGCTTTTCTGTAAGAAGGTACAAGTCTGCTGGCCCTTCCTGCTGTAACCATCCCATGGCTCAGAACTGCCTGCTGGAAACTCTTACACTCCCCAAGCACATTGGTGAAGAGAAAGGGCTTGAAAAAGAGCTTTGTGCAACCCTGAGAACACCCTGGAAACTGGACAGCACCCTTGTGGAAGGCGCTGATGTGTGGCAGACGCACTGGGATCAGCACAGGATTCATGTTGACCCGGCAGCCCCACACTGCACTCCCCCAACAGCGCCCGCAGGACCGGCCCCTCTGAGGCCTCACAGGGGAACTGGCTTAACTGGAATTCAGAAATCCACTTACACTGGGCACAAGGACAGTCCCCCCACCCGGGGTACTGGCATTTGAAGCAGGACTAACTAATGAACAATACAACTCTAGCACATCTTAATGTTCTTCTATGAGTCAATAATCTGTGCTCTGAAAACATGACAGGAAGCTTTCAATAAATACCAAAGCTGCATAAAAGTAACTACTCTTAGTGACTGCTCAGTGTTACCACGACTTTCTTAGCTTGAGGGCCCCTAAATGCTGCTACTGCTGCTGCTCTGCCATTTCAGCTGCTCCCAACCAGCAGAGAATTAAAGGAACTTCTTTTTTCCTTAATATCGGTTTTATAAAATTATAAAAACAGTTCTTCAGCCTAAAAACAAAGGAGAATTTTACACCCTCATCACTCCTGTTTCAGATCAGCACAGGACTCCTTTGGACTCCTTCAGGACTCCTTTGTGCAGCAGAATTCAAAGCACAACCCAACAGCAAATGCCTGCCCCACAGGAAGATGTTGGGAGCCCAAATGCCAACAGACCAAATGCACTTTGGACACCCTAAAACACAGCAAGTCCTGCTGCTTTCAGCTCCCAGATCTGTGGCTACATTGCACTGCACATGCTGATCCTGCAAGTGCTCAGAGAGAACCCAAATTGATTCCTCTGGGAATTTGTGATGAACATAATTCAAACCAGAGGCACTTTACTGAAATTCAAGATAAAACCTGTAATGATTTCAGCCAGTACATTGTGGTGCTGCAACTGAGCTTTTTAATGTGCCATTCACACTGCTACTGGCAGCCAAAAGTTCCCCAGTTGTTTCAGGCTGCAGCAGAGTTCAGTTTATTCTGGGTTTGAATCACTATATTCAGTGCCCTGCATCCATGTCTGTGGTCCCTGCTCACACTCATCTGTTATCAAACTAATATCCCAGTTAAATTTACCCAGCAGTTGCTTTAAAGGTCAACTGCAAAGGACAAATTTTATTTGGCTTGGATCCTGACACTGTACTCCCATGAAGCGGCCTCCTGTTTTATCCAAAAGAAAGAGATTTTGATTATCATGTCAGAGGATTATCTGCTTCTGACTTTATTGATTTCATAAAAGACCTTTTGGAAAATCATTGGAAGCTTTCTCAAAAGGACAGGAACAGTAAATCTTTCAGAATTTTTTTTCCTCCAGAGTATGAATTTAATTCTAAGACATTTTTATTAAAAAGAGCAAAAAAACACAACCAAAACCCAACACTACCACCAAACCACAACAACTCAACACAAAAAAGGACCAGGTTTTAAAACATCAGCACTAATTGCTCTGTCCCTTTTCCAGCTGCTGTGGTTCCCATCTCCCACATCACTGCAAATCCCACCAGACTCCTACCACTCCTCCAGCATGAAGAGCAAAGTCAAGATAGGATTCATTCGATGTTAAGAGGCACTTAGGGAAAATGCACTTTCTAAAAGTCTCTGAAGATCCTCTCTGCATCAGGAGCAGCAGTACCTTTTTCCTGCTTTGCAGATTCTCTGCATCCTTGCAAGCACAACTCTATAGCACACTTCTTTGGAATTAAATGCCCTGCAATTAAGCACCAGGATCCAAATTATAACCATTTCCCAAGCACAGAGAGAAATATTATTTATGCCCAAGGCATCAAGGCAAAAACCAACTACTCAGCACACAAAACACTCTGGCTTTTTCACACACCACCTAATTACAGGAGACATCTCAAGAGCTGCAGAGACACATCTCCAGCTGCACAGCTACCTCTGCCAGAAATCAGGTCAGGCTGTGGGCATTTTGTTCCCAGGGAATCAGGCAGGGAGATGCAGCAGGAGTGGGCATGCACAGTGCAGTTTGGAATTCTCTGCACTGTAAAAGTGAATCAGCAGCAAGGAGAGGGGGAGGGAGATCAGAGAAAGGGAATCTGCTGTCAGAATGATGCTTCAGGCCCGAGAACTGAGAAATCAAGGGGTAAATAAACAAGAGGGAGGGAGGAAATCCTTTTGAGGGCAATAAGCTGTGGATACCAGAGGGTTAACAGGGGTACTTCCCCTCCCTGATAAAGGGTCTTGGGTCTGACTTCCAGCTGAGTCAGCTGTGGCACACGCACAGCAAACAGAAGAGCACTGCCTAGGAGAGGGAAGGAAATAAAGATGTCTCCCAATAAGCACTCCAGAGGAAGAGTGCTCTGGCATTCCTGCATCCTGGGAGAGTGGAGCAGGGAACAGGTAACTCACCTCCTCCACAGTCCATTTGGCAACTTGTTTGGCTGTCAGGCCCGAGACCTCCGGCAAGAGCCTGCAGTGCTGCTCCCAGAAGAGGTGGAGGCGATGGCTCGGGTTAGAGGCCAGGGAAGGCATGAAGATAGACTGGTGGAGGGCCTGCTGGAGATCCAAATCAGGGCCTGAAAAAGGAAACAAGGTAAGTCAGAGACAGGCTTCAAGTAGGAGCAACTACAACAAAGCAGGAGGAAGGGTCACAGCCTGGAGGGGAAAGCAAGACAGGGTGAGCAGAGGCAGGCACAGCTACTGTGTGGCACACGGAGCTCTCAGGACGTTCTCCCCCTCCCGAGCAGGAGACAGGGAAAAAAAAGGTAAGATTGCCAGGCTGGAGGCTTTATCATTAGCTTCTTCCCTGGAAAATGATGTCATGCTGCTACCAGAGAAGATGTTTGCAGCGTTTTATTGACAAGGTGGAGGAATTCTGGTAACAGCATCCTCGGCTGGGAACTGATGGCACCGTTCCAGCCCCTGCTGTAGCCAGAGCTCTGTGCTGCCAGCGTGGCCTGGGCTGACTCCCCAGGAGACTCCCAGGCCAGGAGTGCTCAAGGTACCTCCAGACATCAGCTCCCTCCTCATGTGTCAAGTGAAGCTCGGAAAACCAAGGCAAAAAAGAGAGGAAGGAATCACCCCTCCCTAATGAGATCACTGGAGCAGTGCAGAGTCACGGTCCTACAGGGACGTGCTGCTTATACAACAGGAAGCCAGGCAGGGATGGGAGCAGGCTGGCAAGTACTCCTCTGGTTTACAGTGGCACGGGGGTCTACCCCCGACCCCCCCCACCCCTGCAGGCTGCCCAGCGCCATCCCGTGGCATCCCCGAGCATTCCCACTGCATCCCAGCCCTCGGGAAGGCTCCGTGTGCCTGGAGCAGCCGCTGCTCTGCTGCCCCTGCTACTCCTGCTACCTCTGCCCCTGCTGCCTCTGCTGCTCCTGCTGCCCCTGCTGCCTCTGCCCCTCTGCTGCTCCTGCTCAGCAGCTCTCAGTGGGCTGAGGTGTAGGATGTGGGGGGTAATCAGTCACTATGTGGAAAGCACAGAGGAAAATGGCAGAAATACAAAGAAAAAGCAGATTCCCAGGGCTTGCCAGCTGCCCCCTAGCTGAAGGGGAAGCAGCTCTGGAGGTAAAGCCTGTCCTAGGGAACAGTCACTGCCCTGGCCTGAGAGCCCACTCAGCTCATCTCCACATCCCTATTGGTCATGGTACAGCATCAAATTTCTAATACTGAAACCAAGGGAGGATAAATAAAGCCTGAGTAAGAACTGCTCAGTTGAGGAGCTCCTGGTGGAAAGCGGGCACAGGACCTGCTCCATGGGAGGGCTGTTACCCCTTCCTTCCCTGCTGCACTGCTGCACAGGTGGGGACAGATAGCACCTGGTCTTGTCCCCACCTCCTGCTCCAGGAGGTCCCACTTGTGCCCAAGGTCTCCCCCACTGCCACATTCCTGCTGGGTGGGCATTACTTCCATCTCAAACCAATTCCTTTTCTCCACTAAGCACAAATCCTTGGACTAAGCACCCAAACCATGACCTAGACAAGTGACTTTCCCTCTGACAAAGAAGTAGTGATCTCATAGTTTAAACACAGCTGAGAGGAAAGCTCTGGGTAATTGTGAAATTGCAGGTCAGTGGATGATTGCATTTCCCTCCGTTGATTTCCATCACTCCATGGAAGGTGAATGTGAAGGGAGAATGGGCAGCTTTCCCTGCCAGCTGCCACTGCAGCTTGGAGCCAGCAGATCCCTCAGCTCTGTCTGCAGAACTCAGCACTAGGTAAAAATGAGTATTAAAAAAAAAAAAAAAACAAAAAACCAACATCCAGGCACCTGTCCCAGTTTGTGCCTGCTTAGCTATTTTTGATTGGAGACTTATTACCATCTTAAATCCTCCTAAAAGCCTGGTCAGCTCTGTTCTCTGAAATGGCTTTTTATAGTAAATCTGAAAGTTAAGCATATGGTTTGCTAAAGTGATAGCAGAAAGCTGCTCTGATAACTTAACCTGTCACATACCAGGAAAAAAAACACCACTGTTTTTCCATTTAGCTTTTCATTTTCTTTTTAATCCTTAAGAGAACCTTTAAAAAGTCCTCCAATGATTCAGAATATGTTTCTGAATACCCATGAGGGTTTAAAAAAAGGGGCTGATGGAACTTAAACTATCTGCTAAGTTCTGAGCAAGTCTCCCTTGAGCCCTGAGCTGGCTCTGTCACAGCCTGACAAAGGTCACAGACTGTTTGGGAGCCCCTTGTCACTACAGGGGAGTTTGCAGTGGCACAAAGACCAGTGCAAACTTGTCTTCTCAGTTAATAAATACAAGGCTCCACTCTACAAAGTATTGAATCTTTCACTTCTAAGTAATTTTACCCTTTCTCCTCATTTTAAAGGAACTGCCATCATCTCCAGCATGTGCTTTCTCTTGACTGTGGAATCAAAGACAAAAAAATCTGTGAATTCTGAATGCTCCTTGTGACTGTGGGGATATTGCAGAGATAGGCACACACACAGAAAGAAGGAATAAAACTTAACCAACCTTTCCCATTGCTTTCCTGTTTCACCAGCTGAAACTTGATATAGGCATGTGAGCACCCGAGCCTGAAAGCAACAATTACAAAACATTTCAGAAGATACAGAAATGAATGTAATTTCTTCTCCATACAAAGATAAATGAGATTTATAGAAACTAAAAACTTTTTCCTCTTAAAATAAGCAATAGCTTCATCCCTGACATCTCTCTGAGCTAAGGGCTGTTCTAATAAATTCATGGCCAGAACTCAGATCTAAGTTTACTGCAGGAAAGAGAGGGCCCAAAACAACAGGAGGAAGGGAGACTTACCAAGTCATTCTAAAACACTCTGCTGCAAAACTTCAATCAAATTGGGCTGTTTGCTATTTACATCTTTATTTCAGATACAGCAGCAGCATCAAGAAACACTATGGTTAATGCATGAAAATTCATCACAAAAGTCGTGTTTACGTTTTTGGTGTGGCTTTGATGGCTGCAGAGGAATCCTCCTCTCCCCAGCCTCGCTCCCGACTGTCTTCTGATTGCTCTGATGGAGTGTGGATGCTGCTGTGACACCACTTTTCACTGTCTGGTGCAGATTTTCTGCAAAGATAGATAAATGACAATAGCTGAGCTGACATTCTCTGTTCCCTTTTCCCACAGGAGAGCAAAGCTGGCTGCTCCTAGCAAGTGAGAGCAACAACCACCACCTTGTGGCAGAACCTCCCTCTTCCCTCCATGAGTACAAAGTGTTTTATTCCTCTTCTGCAAGGACTGAGGGAGTTTAAGGGCAATAATTCAGCCTCTGTGGACTCAGGCTCTGATCCCAGCAGCTACAGGAAACCACTGTGTTATGGTGAAAGCAAGAGATTTAGCATTTCTGAATCCTGATACCTCTGGATAACATTTAAGAGTTTCCATTACTAAGTTTGATGCATAAACTGAGCTACAGAGTTGGCCAAGGGAGGGCAAGCAGCAGGATAATACCAGACTTACAGGCTGAATTCAGACATCCCACTATGAGGAAATTAAATACTTAGAAGAAAAGAAATAGATTACAATTCTAAAATGCCAATTATTCTGTGAGAATTCAAAATCTCCCAAGAGCTTTATGGTAAGAGTGCTATTGAAATGCACACCAATTTTGGTGTGGAAATTAGGGAATGAAAATGCCATGAAGGCTAGGGAGGAGAAAGAGGCATTCATTCCTTTTTTTCTGGACAAATAGATCTTGGAAATGTTATAAATCTAAACAAATAGATGAACTTTAAAATATAGATAAGCCGTCACATACAACAAAAAATTAAAGTATTGCTGGAGTTTGCCCTAGTGAGACTGGATTTGTGAAGACGAAAAATGATCTCAAAAAAAAATCCTTCATATTCTGGTCTGTCCCATGACAGGTTTAGCTGACTCCTGTACTCCAAGAACCAAGGCACAGTTTCCTTTCCACAATGCTGCTCAGTTGCAAGATTTTCTTGTGAGAAAACAAAGCAACTGAGAGTGCTCAGCTTGTCTGCTGCTAAGTGATACACACAGAGTGCTCAGCCAACTCAGAGTGGATCACAGTTACAGTTTAATAGTGCAAAATAATCTTGGCTTGACAGTTTTAGGACAGGAAACAAAGGAAAATAACATATTTTAAACTCAAACAGCAAGGAAAAAGTTATGGAGACAGAATGCAATTTCCTTTGTTGGAATGTGACCACCAGGATTAAAGAATCAAGAAACTTATTAAGGCATATGAGGGTATAGAAGTGCACTGCTCTGTGTTAGGAGTTACTGGGGCACACATCAATATTACAGACAGACAAACTCAATGCTCTGCTGTGTTGCTGCCAATTCCAGTGGTTTTCACCCTTGTAAATGGTTTTGCTCCCCAGCACCTGGCCAAGAGCACAATGCAGCTCACCTGGATTGTGAGGAGTCGCCCTGAGAAGCCTCCCTTGCTCCCTGCAGTGGGCCAGGGCTCTCCAGCCTCCTGCCTTTCTGCAGGATGCTCCCAGGGGAAGGTCTCTCCCCACTCAGCCGGTCCTGTAAGAGGTTTTCTCTGCTCAGGTTCACATCAGAGTATGGGCAGCCAACTAAGCTGTGATGGAGAAACAAAAAAGAGACAGGACAATGAAAGCTTTACAGTCATACAGTATTCCCTACCTCAGGAAGAGAAATCCATCACAAACCCAGAAAAAAGGAGGCCATCTCAGGAGATGCTGTTATCCAGCTCTAGGTGTGAGAAAGCAGGGACCATATGGCAGAATTAAAACCTAAAGTCATGTTGTTAAAGAGCCAGCACAGAGGACAAGAATTCATCCTCTGTAACTTGCTTATCAGAACAACATTTCATGAATCAACAGAGTTCTGCGACTTTTAGTCTGAAAAATTCAAAGCCCTTTGCTGTATTATAAACTACCAGGTCTTCTGACCTTCCACTTGAGATTGTTTTCTTGCTCCTAAAATAATTTACTTGAGAAAAAGCTTCCTCTTCCAAAAGCAGACAAGAAATCAAAAGGCAGAGCACAAAACATAAGCAACCTCTCCTCACTTATACTTTAACATCCTTCCCATGCCCTCTCTTTAACTGTCTCGTTGCATGTTGTTCTTGGGTATATTATTTCACAAATATAACTCCTTCAGTACTGCTGGAATGTAGAATCTGGAGTGAATGAATCTGTTTGCATTGCAGCTATCATGATTATAGTGGTATAAACAAAATTTATGATCAAACAGCCTGCTTAGACACAAGAGGGAGCTGTGACTGCAGTTATAGCTATCTCCAGAATAACTACCCTGAGATCATTTCAGTGCAGTGCAGTTGCTTGGTGCTGCATCATTACAGTTATTGTTGTTGTTGCTGTGGTTGTAGCTGCTATCATTGTCACTACGTACGTGTAATGTGTTCCGTAGCGGGGGCCCCGCACGTGCCCGATGCCCTGGCAGCCTGGAGTGGGACACGCCTGTCCCACTGCTCCCTCTGCATCTTCAGCACCTGGGAGCAGCAAAAAAAGGGAAGATAAACAGATTTGCACACGAAGAGCAGACTGCACTTAGGAGATTATCCAGCATAACAAAAGCTGTATTTACCTAGAGGAACTTGCAGGGCGTGTCCAGTTTTGTCACACCAGCCTACAGGATGGATGTCAGGGCTGTCTGCATCCACCCAGAAATCGTAGTGATGGTCCCAGCCATCAAAATGTATCTGAAAGAAGCAGAAGTCTCAGGGAAAGACACAGTTCAGGGCATGACTCAGCTCTTATGTTAACTTCCCCCTTTGTTTCACCTTTCTCAGCTTGGGGCTGATTCATTCAATCTTTCAGATCAATTTTTCAGTCAGGCGCAATCATCTCTGTGCTCAGTCTAACTCTTTTTCTTGCATCTGTGTTTCACAGAATAACCAGGTTCTGGTGACACAGTCTGTCACCCAACAGCCCGTGGGATGCTCTAACATGCAAAGTCCAAAGCTATGCAAAAACAAATGCTTATTTGTTTTGTTTTCTGTGGATCCCAAAATACCATAAAAGCCAACAAGTTTGGTGAGTTCTGCAGTGGACAAGCTGCAATTTTCTGCTGGATGAAGAGACTGCAGTAGCTCAGATCCAGGTCAGGTTAACAGAGACTGAGGATCACTGGAGTTTAAAGGCTACTGGGTTGTTCATGCAGGAAGGTTTCAGTGTATGAACTGAGTATCTTGCCACTATGGACTGGCAAAGCTTGGCTTTTGTTCACAGCAATGAGACTCAAAACCAGCCAGATAATGGGGAGTGAACTCCACTCCTGCCCACGCAATCATCCTTTAGGAAGGAGATCTGTGGCCATGGAGTCTCCATCAGTGCAGCCTCCACTTTAGCTGGCTCATACTTAGTTTCTCAGAAGCCAAAGCACAACAGATTATTTGGGTAACATATTTGCATGAAAAGACTAGGTTAAAATGCATTTATGTGACAAATTTGTACTGGAGAATGATGCTGCTTCCCACATGTAGCAGGATTTAAATTGCTCTGGGTTTCCCTTTCCTGGTAGAAAAAAAACACAGGCAGCTTCCCCAGCAGAACACTCCTGCTGCCATCAGTCACAGAGATCACAGGGAATATGCCAAGAGAGGGGACATCTCACTGTCGAGTGTTAGTTCAAAACAGTTACGTTAGAACAGTAACTGACACCAGGCCAATTCCATCAGATTTCAGCAAAACAAAGCAACAGGAACCAATTCCAGCTGGGCAGGCCCGGAGGCCACAGCAGCTGCCAGGCTGTTGTTTGCTGCTCCTTGTTCCCAGGTGTTGTTTTCCCTGCACTGCCCATCCCAGGGCTCTCAGCACAGGCTCTGCACTTGGCAGCAAGGTCATACCTTAACACGATGGTTGTCTCTGTCAGTGATTGTTGCCACTCTTATCAAGATGGGATTTCGTCTGTCCACAGCCTCTAACTTGGTATTAACCTGGAATCCGTGAGGAGGACGCTGCAAGAGAGGATTGTAAGCAGAATGCTAAAAAGCCTTGGAGTTCAGAGCTGGCACCTGCTCTGAATGAAATGTGCTCCAGTTTCCATCCACCCCTGGCTGCCTTTGGAGCTTTGGGTTATCTCACATGGCACACTGTTCAGAGGCTAAAATCAGAGTTCCCAAGAGAACTTAGCTGAGTGTTTGTCAGCAGCCCCAAACTGCTGGAGAGGCAGCCTGAGGTGGCTCAGCACAGAGGAGCTGTCCCAGGCAGAACAAGAGGCCCTTCCCTCACAGACAAAAGGCCAGGAAGCACAAGTGGCTCCACTGACACAGCCTCCCCAGGCTGACAGCACACCTCCCACACAGCAGGGACATGGTCTTCTCTACAAGAGGAGACTGAGAAGGGAGAGATCTCAGCAGTCCATATGAGTTTCTCCAGGGCAAGTGTCAGAGGATGGTGCCAAACTCTCCAGCAGGGCCCAGTGACAGGAAAAGGAGCAATGGCCCTGAAATAAAACACTAAAACCTCAACATGAGGAAGAACTTTTTGTGGAGGCTAGCAGAGCACTGGAACAGCTGGCCAGGGAGGGTGTGGAGTCTCCCTCTCTGGTGACATTCCAAACCCACCTGGACGCAAAATTCCAAAGCCACCTGGGTCACCTGCTCCAGGTGACTCTGCCTTGGCAGTGGGTTGGAATGGATGACCTCTCTTCCAAGCTGACTATTCTGTGATGTCACACCAGTCAGGACAGTGGCCAGTTCTCCACTTTTCACATCTGAACACACCATTGGCTGAAGCCTCTCTTCACTACCCTACATCCTCCCTGGCACCAGCTACAGCTCCTGCCTATCAGTTATCCTCACTACACAGACTGCTCCTTAGGACAACACCTGTGCTGCTCATGAACTACTGCTGGGAGCTGCTGTGCTGGGGCCCACAGCAGCTCTGGCCCTGGAGCCTCCTGTGCAAATGTTCACTCACCCTTTTCCTCAAACCCTGAAGACTTTGGGAAAACTCCAGAATGTTCTTTGACCTGATGTGTGCACCCTATGTAACCTCTAAGCAATAGACAGCTTTTACCAATTTTTCCATTTATCTGACTGCAAATTCCTCCTCTGACCTCCTCAGCAGGAGGTTATGGATGCTCATTCAAAACATGTCTCTCTTCACTTCTGCACACAGAGGTGAGGGTTTTAGCAAGAAATTATGAATTGTCTATTTGAACATGACCAAGTTAATGAAATTATTAAAATCACTCTTCCCTCCCAGTCTTCCTTACCCTTATTATTACCATTGGCTGGGGGCAGGAAGGAGGTGCACTCCTGAGCTAAGGGGTTTAATTCCACACCTGAAGCTCCTCTTTGGCTATTTCACCTGGACACAGACATCTCTCAGACACTGGACACACCACAAAACAGACAATCTATACTGCTTTTATTTTCAAGAGCATCTTATTGAACCAGCCAACCTTGTGTGTCCTCCCTGAAGAAGAAGCTGCGTTCAAGGTCCAAATCCTGCCCAGAAGAGGAGCCAGGCTCTTTGCTTAAGCCTTGCTGAAGCGTTGCTGCCCTTTTGGCAATAGCTTATGAATGTTCTGAAATTGCCAGCCCAAGAGGATAGGCTGAAATAACAATGCTTACATTGGAGCTGTCTCCTGAGTTTTTGGGTGGAGAGGGCAGAAATCCAGACCCAAGACCTGCTATTTGTGCTGATGACCTGTGCCTCCAGACTACATAAGACAGCTCTTTAAAATTGTTAAAAGCTAATTCAGTGAGAAATGCCTGTTCTGGCTCTCAACCCGCATTTTTATGTACTGATTTCCTGTAATTGCTAGCTGGAATAATAATAATTATTTTTAAAAAATCAATAGCTTTGCCATTTATTTGCACTTCAGTCCAACCAAGCCAGAAAAAAATAACGAGGTTTGATCTTGAAAGAGTCCTACTAACTGCTGATATATCAAATACCTTTTCTTTTTTGTCTCATTTTTGAAACACAGTTTTAGATGCTAATTTGCACTCTGGAGTTTCATGAGGGCCAGAACTGGTCTTCCTACTCTTCTCCCAAAGCCTGATACCTGACGGAGCAGAACAGTGGCTGCAAGAATGTCTGGAAAACAGAAAAGAAGGCAGACAAGGCAGCTGCATCCCACTTGGGAAGACACTTCACTTTGGAAGAATCCAAAGAAGGGAGTTCTGGGTACTGAACAGGCTCCCCGTCCTGAGAAAAGCCTCTTATGTTCAGGTATCTCTCACTACACTTCAGACCCTGAAAACCTGAGGGAAGAAGCCACAATGGCAGATCTTACAGAGGACTTGGGCTGGGAGTTTTAAGTTCACATTTTCCAGCTCTATTGGGATTTCAAAAAAGCTCAGTCCATCCTTGGGGGCAACAACTGTGTCCCACTGACAGCTCCACTCCTCATCCTGCCCCTGGCTCCCAGGTGCTTCCCAGCCATGGGAAACCTCAATGCCAGGGATGTTTTGGACATGCTGCATATAACTCCAGATAAAGCCCTACTGTTCTCTGAAGAGGCAAAAACTTCTTTCACCTCCCTGACACCACTCTGCAGCCTTCACCAACCTCATGTGGGCACCTGCTGAAATCTGGCAATTATCAAACCTGCCTCGCTGAATTTTTGCCTCTCTTATCTGAGGCCTCCCTGATTTATTTTCCTTCTCAGTCCCAAAGACCTTTCCACAGAAATACACAGGAGGGCAGCAGGTATTAACCTGCAACTCCCACTTCAGAAAAAGGAACCAAGACAAGTGTCACGATGGCAAAGAAGAGTTTTTAAACATATTGCAAAGTTTAGCAAGGTGAGCCAGCAGCATGGAAGGGGAAAAATCAAATTAAAAGTACACTCATTTTAGAGGCTTTTGGTTTGTTTCTGCTCACAGTGAGACTCCAGATAAACACACTGAACTGCAATGAAAGAAACAAAACTCACTGTCTCAAGGTTGAGAGAAGCACCTTCACACTGAGTCTGTAAGATGGTCTTAGGGGTTTGGCAGAGATGCTCTTTCATCTGTTAATACATTCATTTCTGTGGAGGGCACAGCTGGCTCCTCCCCAGAAGGACCATGATCTGTATCAGCACACATAAATCCTTGATATGAACTTCTCTACCTTAATTCCAGCCTCACTAGCCAGGGAAGTACAGATTTCCATAACTGCAAGGTGAATTTTAGAAAAGGTTTTTAAAACTTCATGCAGAGGGGACACCAGATAACCACATTCTTTCTCATCTCTGTGCCCTCTACCAGGCACTTCCCACAAACCTCTGGAAGCCACTGTGGACTGAAGGCTCTGCCCTTAAATCTGCTAATGGAGCCACTGAAGATACTTAGTCAAAAATCCTTTCAAAGTCAGCCTTCCATAGTATCAAAAAACAAAAAAATCTTGTATTTTGCTCCGTGTTTTTGTTTTAGCAGCATTGAGATGATCTTAAACTCAAAGTTAACCACAGTTTCACCTTCCTCGCACAGATAAAGTGAACTATGCTCAAATAAAGCCTCTAACAAAAAAGGGTGGAAAACAGCACCTGAGCAAGAGCAATCAAAGACATTCACCCACCAGTTTAAAGGCTCTTGCAGGAGCTGCTTGGGAATTAGTTTCTTCCAAGTACTTCTCCCATGAGAAGGCTTTGGAATCCCTGTGTCCTGAAAAAACAGAGAATAAACATTTCTGTAAGAAAAACCCCACATTTACTGTTACAAACTGCAAAAAGGCAGCTCTGTGACACTGTAATGATCACTTACAATGGATGGTGACCTGTTTGCTCCTACCCACCACCTTCAGCACCCAGAGCAGCTCTGCAGTTCCCCAGTGTAAAACTGGGAGCTCGAACCCTTGCGAGTTCACTTCTGCACAACTTAATCAATTCTCACCCTCTAAAGAAAACTCCAGTTGTGAGCTAGTCAGATGATTCTGTGATGTGCAATGGCATTACAAGTTAATTTCCTGTTTTATGAACTACTCTATGTGTGAGCACCTATAAGACTGCAGAACCTTCTCTCCTGCTGCCTGCTCACCCAGGCTCAGTGAACCCAGCAGCCTGGAGAGAAAAGGCTCCTCGGGTGTGCTGGTGTAACAACAGTGCCATGTCTCTCCCTGGCAATTACATTGAAGAAACTGCTCCATGTTTTTCCTATTTCAGTAATGTTTACCCCCAGGACAGGCTCTTTTTGGCAGCAGGGTGCAGTGACTAAATGCTGAGCACAGTCTGCAAACTGCAGCACTAAGTCCTTCAGCAGAGAGAGCAGAACTGGCTGCAGGTTTTGTGGGGGCACAGGAAATCCTGATATGAGCAGAGAACTGCAGAGCCCAGCCCTGCTGAACCTTCCAGGAGCAGGGACAGATGAGGTGCTGCTGTGAGGGAATGTCCACAAACCCTTCCACATCAACAGTGAAGACACTGAGGCCAATTCCCCCCATGCAGAGGGATCGGGCAGTGCTTCCTGCTCCACTGAGCCTGGAACACAGCAACTACAGGAATTCTTGCTCCAGGGCTGTCAGTCTGACAAATGTCAGGCCTAATTTTTTTTATGTTTGCTATTCTTAAGCTGAATGAGCACTTCCAAGGCCTGAGAACAACACTGGTTTCCCTGTACGTTATGTCCTCTCTTATTTGCCAACATTCTCTTCATTTACCAAATTCCAGTACAGCAGAAAAAGATGTGGATTAAGTTACTCCTTCATTTCCAAAAAGTCCATCTAGGAAATCATTAGAGCATGGTGCTAACAATGCCAAGGCCATAGTTCAATCCCTGTATGGGCCATTCATTTCAGCATTAGACTGAATGATTCTTGTCGGTTCTCCCAACCCAGAGTATTCTGTGATTTCCAGAAATTCCATCTAGGAAATCATGGTACAGATCCCTTTTTCTCCCAGCTCACCCTGAAGGAAATGCTGGAAATTCTCACTTTCTTGCTTCTAAAATCAAATTAAATTATGAATTACCAAACCCTGTTCCATTTTGTCCTAGCTTGCAAGATGTGGCTGGGGCTGTGTGTTCTGTGCCCACCTGTCAGAGCTGGGGCAGTTCTCTGCTGTTCTTGGGGCAGTTTTCTTGATCTCTCCCACAGCCAATCCTCCCTCCAGGAGATCTCTGCTCTCCATGGCCACTGAGTGTCCCTGCAGGGCTGATCCAATTCCAGCATCCCATGGGCAGATGCTGCGCCCAGGGGAGGAGCCAAGCATTCCTACCTGGATCCAATCTGAGCCTGGCACAGCACAGCAGCCTTTGCCCCCTGCATTGCCAGAGGAGCAGCTTTCTGCTGCCCTGCATGGCCAGAGGGAGCCCAGGCCCATCTGCAGCAGCCCTGGAGCTGCAGAGGAAAACTCCCCCCTTGTGCAGGATCCCTGCTGCAGCAGAGCCACAGCTGGCACTGCAGGAGGGCTGAGCCCCCATGGGATGGGGCTGTGCCACAGCCTGAGCCACAGCGTGCCAGGGCCTGCTCTCACTCTGGCAGCGTTGTTTTGTATTACTGCATTTTCATTTTTATTTTTTTTTTTATTTTTTTTTCCTAATAAAGAACTGTTACTCCTATTCCCATATCTTTGCCTGAGGTCCTTTAATTTTTTTTCAAAATTACAATAGGAGGGGAGTGGTTTACATTTTTCATTTCAAGGGGTACTCCTGCCTTCCTCAGCAGACATCTGTCTTTTCAAACCGAGACAGATTTCTTCAATGAACTATGAAACAACATAAATTGCAGTGGCAAAGAGTAGGAACAACAACATTGTTCAGGCAGTAAAGAGTTCTGAAGCGAACCTGGAGCTTGCAAATATGTAATTATGTGGAAGATATAGTTTGCAGGTTTTCTGGCTGAGGCAGAAAGTAAGTCTCACTTGCAACCTACCAGGTGGTGTTGTCAGTGGGGTTCCAGTTTCTTGGCAGTAGCCAACAGGACGGATATATGGGCTGCTCGTTTCACACCTGCACCAAAGAAGGAAAGTTGGCACCAGTCAGATGGAAAGCAAAAAGAAAGGCAGGATTTCAAATGCTGTCTGATAGGCCTTTGCTGGGTGAGCAGATGCTTTCAGTGGGTGTGATCACAGTGTAGAAGACAAGCACTGCCTCGTTAGAATGTGTAACACTGGGTTTTCAAGGCATTCAAGCTGTCCCAAAAGAAAGGGAAATACAAAGTAAATCTTGAAATGGTTTGGTTGGGAGGGACCTTAAAGCTCATCCCGTTCTACCCCTGCCATGGCAGGGACACCTTCCACTGTCCCAGGCTGCTCCAAGCCCTGTCCAGCCTGGCCTTGGGCACTGCCAGGGATCCAGGGGCAGCCACAGCTGCCAGGGCCTGCCCACCCTGCCAGGGAACAATTCCTAATTCCCAATATCCCATCCATCCCTGCCCTCTGGCAGTGGGAAGCCATTCTGTGTGTCCTGTCCCTCCATCCATTGTCCAAAGACCATCTCCAGCTCTCCTGGAGCCCCTTCAGGTACCACAAGTTTTCTCACCTCCAGTGCTTCCCAGCCAGCTCAGACAACCCCCACTGGCTCTGCACTGAGCTGCCCAGCACACCAATGGGAAGGGAACTACCGGGCAACTGCTCTTTGTGAAAACCCCAAGGAATTATTCAGATGCCTGAAAACTGATATAAGATCCCAGCTTTAGGGCCTGCATGTAAAACAAAGCCAGTCTACCTTCAGCCATGTATCAGAAATAGAGTCTTTTACCAGTAGTCATAGCTCTCATCCCAGTTATCGAAATGGATCAGCAGCCGGTTTTCCACCATGTCTGTGATGGTGGCAACACAAACCATGGATGGGTTCTTCTTGTCCACTGCCTCCAGTTTCATTCCCAGACGAAACCCAGAAGGTGTGACAGGCTAAGGAACAGGATACCAGGAAAGAGAAATCAGCCACATTCTTGATCAAGCCATTGAAATCCCCATTATAAACTCCTTTGATCCCAAAACCCACAGAACAAAACACGCTACAGGGACTATCAAGGTGTTTGCAGACAGGATTTTCCATGAGTTCTGGCAATGACTATTACTATAAAAGAGCTAATGTGGCTCAAAAAACAGAATTTCCAGGTACACTGACCACTGCAGCCTCCCAGGCTGAGACACCCTGCAGTGATTTACTGAGGATAACAGGCATTGCACATCCTGTTTTACTGGTGGAAAAGCTGGGTGAGCCTTCAAGGAGACAAAGTGCCTGAGTGGGAAGTAGGGCAGAGCTGGAGGCAGTGACTGTCCATGAGCAGCCTCCAATCCACCCACTGTGGGCTTTGTGCCATCCCAGTAACACAGAATGGGATGGAGATTTCACAGCAACTGAGAGAGCACCACTGGGATGCTCTCTTGGAAGGATGACAAAAGCTCAAGATCCACAGCCCCATAATGAATCGCATGGCACACATGAGCATGCTGCTGGAATCCAGGAATTATTTTGGAAATTATTAAATTACATGAAAGTGACACAAATATCTTGACTGCAGGGGCACAGTAAAACAGACGGTTGTAATATATTTAATAAATGTTTCAGTAAATCTTTTCCTCCAGCATTAAGGAGGAAGGAAAATACAAATTCTTTCTCTGGAATGTCAGTGACTGGGGAAAGGAAGAAAAATTGTACTAATTTTCCTTCTAAAAAATAAAACACAGCACGAAGTAGTTTGCATCTGATTGTACCATGGCTGTACCTCTGACATAAGCATATTAAAACCACATAAATATTCTGGTCAAAACTCACTTAGCACCAGACCTATTGAAACCCCTTCTATTCCATATCACCACTTACACTGCTGAGGGTCTTAAAAAGGCTTTTTGGAGCTGCTTGAGCTTTGCAGTTCTTCAGATAGGAAGTCCAATTAAATTCTCCCTCCTTGAAACCTAGGAAGAGAGAAAAAAAGATTGTTTTACATGGCCCTGGTACATTCTGGTGGGTTTTTCAGAAATGGAAATTACCTGGAAAGAATATGAACTTTGCATGAAAACTACCCTGCTATGATCTCCAGGAGCTGTGCATTTCAGCTAAACCAGCTCTCTCTTATTCACCATAATGTCCAATCATTAATCTCAAACTTCAAATGTTTCTAGAAATTGAATGCAGGAAAGAACTGAACGCAGAAAATAAGTATGTTCTGAAGCACAGAGACATTCAATCTCTGCTGTAACTAACAATGTCAGTCTTTAGGAATATCACAGAGAAGATATTTTGCTCTTTTGTGAGTCACTGTGTTAGTTAAACCTCTTCCCTTTAGCCCCTCAGATCAAGTTCTACGATGAAATCACACTAAAAATGAAATATGCAGAGCCAGGACCTCGTCGTAGAATTTATGGTTTCTTGTACACCGCTCTATTTTCTGTCATACCTTTAGGAGGGAGCAGCTTATGGCTTGTTTTTTCACACCAGCCCACAGGGTGGATGTCTGAGGAATCAGCATTAGCCCAGAAGTCGTAGCACTCTGGGTAACCATCGAAGTGCAGTCGCATCCTGTACCCTTGGACCTACAGGGAGAGAAGCTCTGATTATCACCAAGGGTCACAAAGGAGAAAAAGAATCACTTATAAAACACTCCCTCATGTTTGCACTTACAGAGAAAGTAACTTAGGATCTCATTTCTTTCTCAGAAACTCTAGCTGTACTTTAACTTATTTGCTCTCCCAGTTTCCATCTTCCTCTTTCCCCACTTCAAACAGCTGGAAACAGAACTGGTCAGTGGAACCTCCCTGAGCCCCTGCTCCATGCCATGAACACATTCCTGGGGTACAAAAGCAGCCCCAGAACTTAAATGTCTACACGAGATCAACCCAGATTTCACATAACTGAAGCTGCATAAAAGCATTCTGACTTGTTTATATTTACTAAATCTTGGGGCCTCGTGGCATTGTTCTTTTTCATACTCCTTCACTACAGGCAATTAATAGGTTTGCTATTCTTAGTTACAAGTGCAAAAATCTGCCAGTAGGATTTCAGGCAAAGATCCTTAATTACAGAACACCTTTCCTTCAGTGTCACCATTAATTAACTAACTAAAGTACCCTTACTCTTATGTTTCTACTTTTTCTTGAAAAAAGAAATAATTCTAGATGTACATGGGACTTTTGGAATCAAAGACAAGAAAAGCAACTACCTCAGCAACTGTGAGAACACAGAATCGAGAGGGGTGTTCAGGATCCACCCCTTCCAATTTCATTCCAACTTTAAATCCATTTCGGCCTTGTGGGAATGACTGATACTGTGAGGGGGGAAGAAACATTTGTTTTTAATTCCTAAAGACAAAATCTATTGCAGAGCAATCATAACATACTTAAGGCTTCAATTTTTATATTTCAGGTTTCAAAAGCTCAACTCGGAGAAGAAAATCCCACCCCAAGTGACTGTGGCTCCAACAGACAGGTGCAGGCTCAGGGATCAGTAAGGGCACCATCACCTTATTTCACATTTACTCATTATTCTAATTAATCTCTCAAAACCACTGCACTGTTGCAATTAGTTACGAACGCATCTTTGAGCAGATGCAGAAATGAGCTCTTCTCAAACACAAAAGAATCCCCTTCCCAGCTCAGTGCAGAATCAAAGAGCTGGGAAAGCCATAATCACTTTGTGTCAGTCCAGACCCCCACCAAAAGGTAACTTGTCAACTTCAAATGGCGAAAGGGACAAGGCAGGCTTGATCTGCAGCCCAGTTTTACAGTTATTCCAGAAAACATCAGTGGTTTTCATTTATCTGCAGTCAATCCAAGTGAGACAGCTGAAATACAGCGAAAGTTTAAAAGCACCCTGAACTGGGGCTGCAAATGACCCAGTGCAGGACTGGACCTTCCTTTCAAGCTCCCTCTGGGGGGACCAACAGCCCTGGGCTCTGCAGAGCTCACTGGAGCTGCACATTTAACTGGGTGCAGAGGCAGCTTCACCGAGGCTGGACGGGGCCTGTGGCACTGCCACGTGGCTGACACAAGCCCACCCTCCCTCCTGGCACTGCCAGCGTGCCCACACCACTGCCTGGGCAGCACAGGACAGGCTGGGAGGGCTCTGCTCAGCCCCACAGGACATGGCACAGACAGCAGGCTGTCCCTCTCCAGCCTAACAGCCACGGGGCCAGAGGAGAGCAGATCTAAACTGCTGCTGCTCATTTGTGGGATTCAACCAGCATTTTGTACACCCTGCTTTGGGATGAGATGCCCAGGGCAAATGCCTGTCTCCCTGGCCTACTTGTACCAAAACAACTCAGAAATACAAGTGCAGGTTAAGGGTGGTCTGCAGTCCCACCTCATCCTGTGACTGCCAGTAAGCCTGTAATGTTGCCTGAGAAAAACAGCAAGAGAGTGAAGAAAGCTGCCAACCTCTCTGAACAGCTTTAGGGAAGCAGCTGGCATCTGTTCCTCTTCCAAGTAGGAAGACCAGTTCCATACCTTCTTCTTTCCAGGAAGCACTAATTAATCAAAAACAACAAGAAAATGAACGCTTCTCTCTGATGCCTCCTGCTCTGCTTCTCCTCTCTTCTTCTCCTCCTCCCTTGTTTGCTGTGGCACCCCAGAAGAGAGAGTGTTACTCAACTTCTGAGGAAAGGTTTTGCTTTCCTTCTCTGCTTTTGCTTGCTTTTGGAAAGTCCAGCAATAGGAAAACTGTGCTCATTTCCTCAGGAAATGAAAATTTATTGTATCACAGGTCAAATGAACTGTGGCATCTGGACCACTGGCAAGCTGCCCATGGAAAGGTGCCAAGGAAGAGTCTGGACAAGACAGAATAACTTAAAATTGTGGGAATGAATTCCTCCTCCTGACATTTCACAGAGGAATAAGGGGTTAAATATAAAATAACAGGCAGCACAGAGAGGCACATAATTGCAGCTAAAATAAGCCTAAAATAAAATAAATTAAAAACCAAGTGATTTTTTGCTAAGTTCAGAATTTTTTTATATACACACATATATTTACAACCTCCTAATAATACAATGCATCTACTAGAGAGGCAGCTCCCAGATGATGGAAACAACTTGGATTCATTCTGGTAGAGCCACAGTCATACACACAGAAAATTACATTCTAAATGTACATTAAAACTCTCCCCCTCAGTTACATACTGACTGATTTAAGGTATATAACTCATTTAACTCATATTCTACAATCAATCACATTGTTTACAATTTATTTTTTACTTAGCACTCTAGGCTGTGACTGAAGCTCTCCAAAGTCAATGAAAAAAAGATTCTTATTATCTTCAGTGAGCTCTGGATGAAGCTGACTCCTTCCAGATCCTTACCCTGTGTCCATTATGCAGGCAAATCCAGGATACTCCTGCTAATACATCTCTGAAGCCGACAGTGGTAAGAGGGTTATGGACGCAATAAGCTGTTCTGAATGTGAAATGAGCTCTCCTGTCCTTTATTCTTCTGTTTATTATTATTCACTTTATAATAGCTACTAAAAAAAAAATCTATAAACATTAAAGAAAAGAGACTATGAGCTTAGCTCACCTTGTTTTATTGGTTTAGTGTTTCTGCGGCTTTTCATATTATTTGATTTATTCTTCTCCTAGACACAGATATGTTAAAAAGAAGTTTAGCAAGATTGTTTTTCCTTCCCTCCAATCATCTCACAATGCAGGTACAGTACAGATGTAACAAGTTACTAAAAGGACTGCTAGCCAGCATTGCTGTCTCTTTAACAACCCTGAAAGAACATCAGGAGGGACTGTTACACAGATAACGCTGATCTTGGTATCCCAAAGTGCTTTACAAGTTATTAAATATATGCTACTGAAGTTCATTTAAATGTTAAAGAGCAGCACAGGACCAAAATCTCCATTACAATACAGAGGATTTGCTTTCTGCAATGCAGGATTTGCTGCTCACATCAGCAGCCTTACTGGAACAGTCCTTTTTCCTTTCCCTTTCTTACATCCATCTATGCCAGGGAATGGATACAGGGGGGAAAAAAGGAATTCATGAAGCCCTGAAGGAAGCAGAAGCTTCAAGGAACTCCTGTCATAGATGAGCACCCCAGACAATGTGGTCTCTCTGTGTCACACTCCATGCCCAACCCTCATTCCAATCTCTTCTGTGTGTTTGCAAACTCGGGCTTGATTCCTCCCAGGCCACCATTTGTCAGAGCAAACCAAAACCAGGCAAAGTGTGCCATACAAGGCTGCCTGCCAAACACTCCCCAGAAGGGACAGGGGGACAGTTTCTAATGAGAACGAAGGGGGAAGAGGAAGACTGCAAGGACTTCTGGAAACATCCATCCCTTAAAACACCTCACCCACATCCCAGAGAAAAGCTGAGCAAGACCATGAATTAAACTGCTCATGACAGCTGAGGCTGCAGCTTTATTGCCCCTGTTCTGCCATACAGAACCCTGCATTATGTGAATAAACATAAAATGGCTCAGAGAGGCACTGATGAGCAGGAGCAGAGCACAGGGCTCCAGGAGGTGGTTAGGGGCTGCAGGAAACTGAAGGAAAGTCAGCTCAGAACTGAGGTACTGCTGGTTATGCACCACTAATACAGGTTTCTGGTAGCGCAGTGAGAGTACCTGCAAGTATGCAATAAAACCCAAACAAACCCTGTGGTTTGACAATGATCTGCAATATCACACAACAGTATTTGAATGTAGTTACTCTGGAGATGTGGTGTTATTACAGTGAACTCCTGACTTTCCCTTCACCTGAGCTATTCATCCACCCCTGTGACTCCTCAGAACAGATATTCCCATCACTGATGTAAGTCAGGATCAGACCCAGACCATTCCCTGGGTGCAGAACAAGCTCCCTCAGCCCAGCTGGCACTGCACAAGAACTCTGAGATAACTGCCCCTGCTTTTCACAGCTCTCCCTAAAGGAAGTACATGCAGCCTCATTTACCTCATCCTCATATGCATTTTCCTCCTCATCCTCTGAATCCAAAGGCAATCTTCTCTTCCTCCGGAGACGTCTGACAGGTCTGCCAGCCTCAGCCACCTGACAGCCACTGCTGGTAGTAACATTTCCATTATTTCCTGTTTCTGCAATCATCTGGAATGTCTTTGATATCATTAAACATCCAAAATTAAAAACAATATAAAATTAAAATATTATTCCTGCACTGCTTCCAGTGTCTCTGAACCTCTTGGAATGAGGAGGCCTGGGCTGAGGACCTGAAGAAATGAAAGGTGTCTGCAGGATTTCCTGGATATGGAACTGTAACACTAGGTCTGACAGGTTCATTCTACTCACAGCAACACCATGCTCCCTTTAAATGTTTTCAAACAAAAAATGGGAAAAATCTGGGATTTCTGTACCTCTCCCTGTGCTGCTGGGAGCCTGTTTGAGTACAAATCTTTCCATTCTCAAAGCAATCCATTTGCTCAAGGTTTGGGAATCAGAGCAGGGCACAGCTTGTCTTGGCACTGCAGAAGTAAAGAAAAAGACAACTATTAAATTAAAATGTTAAAACACCTTTCTGCCAAAGTCCTTTACAAACTTTCATTAACTGACACTCAGTATCTCATTGTGAGGGAAGTAACCATCACCGTGTGCTGCCACACCACCTCAGCAGAGAAAACCCTCTTTTATTGGTAATGTTTTAATTTTGGAGCAGTGGTCTCCAATAGTACTCTCAGGCACATCTTGATTGACTTGATGATCTTAAAGGTCTTTTCAAACGTTAATGACTCCTTGACACTATCTGTGAGGGAGCTCCCTGCTGAAACAGTGAATAATTTAATCAAAGGAAACTGGGGATTACAAAGTGAGTGATGCTGAACAGCCTGAAGGGCTGACATCAGGCTGAAGGGCAGTTTGTGGAGAACTGGCGCTCATGGGATGGACTCACTTTGAGAAGTTCATGAAAAGCTGTCCCCCACGAGAGGATTCCCTGCAGGGAAGGACTCTGACTCCTCTCCCTGAGCAGCAACAGAAACAGCCTTGTGATGAACTGACCACAACCCCCATTCCCATCTCCCTGTGCCGCTCAGGGCAGGAGGGAGAGCTGGGAAGGAGGAGGGGTTTGACACTCATCCCTGCTCCACTTCGGTCTCACACGCACTCAGCTTGCCCTGCTGAGGACATCACAGCAAATCCAGATGCAGAACTAGAAAACCCATCCAGACACACACAGGGTAGCTTTGGAAAAAGCATGATACGTGGCAGACTTCAGAGATTCATCCTTGGAGCTTAAAACACAGGCCATGCAGGAACACTTTACTGGTCCAGATAAAATTATTAAAGTGTGTTAAATAGTGTCACTATGCATCTTTTATTACTCCTGACCTGCAAATGCAACCAAATATTAAAAAAATTAAACTAAAAAACCACCTTTTTGATGAGCAGAAAGCTGCAAAGATTACCCACTCCTTGATCTTCTGTACTGTGTGCATTATGGAGCTACTGAACTCCAGAATAAAAGAGGCAAGTCAGAGGTGGTTGCATTTGCAAGCTCTGCTCCAAAGCTTTTATTCCAAGCACTTCATTAGTCTGAGATATTTTCTCAGCCATCTGCACTTCACTGAAACTTCAGCCTGAAAGCATTTGCTTCACTCTGAAACAGGGCTCCTTTGTTGAGTGGAGAAGCCCCCTCTGCCTTCTATATGCTTCCAGGCCTCAGGATCCTGCCTCCAGCACCCTATCAAAGCTTCATCCCCAATGTTCTTCCCTCTCTTTATCTAAAGCTTGTATTTTTTTAAAGCTTCAAAGATGCTGGACTTGCTTCTGAAAGGCTCACATCCTTCTCTGCAGCCCCAAGGAGACGGAGTGTCATTCCATTTCAACACAAAGAGAAATGTCCCATTCTGAAGAAATGACAATTCTGAGTGGACTCAGCTTCCTGCAGGACTCCATTCAGTTCATCTCCCTCAAACACCTCAGGAGCAGCAGCATCCTGGTGCAGATTCCAGAGGCTGAGGCTGGTGGGACAGCTCGGTGCCATGGCAGAAGGACAGTGGAGGGAGATCCAAGCTCCACATGCTGCTCCAGACAGGGTTCCTGTGCCCAGGAGCTGGGAAGGTGCCCGTGGCACGGCAGGAGCAGAGGTCTCCAGGGCAGTGATGCCCCTGCACATGAATGAACAGTTCTGGTTCTGCCCAAACCGCTGCAGACCGAGGCCAGGGCTCCCTCCTGCCAAAATCTCACAGTGCACCTGTGGCCAGGTGAGCTGGGGAAACACAGCCCCAATCCCAGAACACATACATTTGCATCAGAAAAACAATGAGCATCTTTACTAACAGTCTGATCTGTGGGTGAGGCCTGGCTGATCATGGGGGGAACCTCCAGTTTCATCCCACAGCTCTATCCCTCATTCCCAAGTTCTGGAAATGCAGAATTTACTATCAGGACTGAAACTTCCTTTACACAACAGAGCTCAGCAGAGCAGGTTTGCTAATATGAAATCCACACAAACCCTCCAGAAATAATCTGTTCTTCCAGAGATGTTCTTGAATGGTATTAAGGAAAAATGCATTTTGTGCATGCAAGAACTGGAATATAGCAGGAAGAGAAAGAAGGGAAAAGGATTAAACAGGAAAAAATATATATATTTGGCATCTTAAGGACAAAGCAGCTCTCGGGGCAGCCAGTTATTGTGTTCCAGCTGAACATTCCAACCAGACCCACTAACCAAGGTACTGAGGGCTCTTGCACTTGATCATCTAATATAAAACAACACATTATCATTTGGGGTCTTTCAGTCTAATAAATAATGTGGTGCTTTGTTGATTCTCTGCCATTAGGAGGAATCAATAAAAGTGAAGCTGTTTCTGCAATGGAATGTTACTGCTGGGTAAGGAGCAGAAGTGCAATGACTTGGATTGAACACAGGGCAAAAGTTATACCATTGCAAAATAACCCAAAGGAGTCAATGGACCAATTCCATGTTTTATGGGAGTGTAGACCACTGATCTCAGAACACCCCAAGCATGAAGGTTTATCCACATCTGCTGGCAGAATTGTCTCCTCACAGCTTAAGGTCCTTCACAGCCCTTCCCCACTGCTCAAAGGGAGGAGGAGGAAGAAAAGGAAGATTATCAACACAGGTCAAATGTCAGGGACCTGATTCGGAATGCCTGATGTGGTAACAACAACAACCACCTGATTTTTCAGAACTCTCAAGTTTCTTCAGCTCAAATTTATTTCACTTGAAATTCATCTTTTCCTCCCCAAGACTCAGAACTTGCAGCCCTGAAGGCAATTCTGTGTATTTGTTTTCAGCACAAAGGAACAGAACAGCTGACTACCTTCATTTGCAAATGTAAACAGCCACTCCCCCTCCTCTAACACAGAAGCCCAGGTTTGTGACCATCAGACCTTGGTTCTGATTCCTGAGAGCCCTGTTTGCCCCTGAACTCCATTCTTGACCTGAAGCCTTCCATTCTTCTGGAAGAAACTTTCTACCTACAGGTTTAGTGTGAGCATAATTCAACCAAAGGCAGACCTGATGCTGGGCACTCAGGACACTTCAGCATCCCTGCAGCTCCAATTCCAGCACCACCACAGCTCTTTAGGATTATTTTAATTGGGCCAAAAGCAGGAGAGATGTTTGCAAATGGCAATAGGAAATATACCTGGGATAACCTCTGTAGGAGCTCCCCAGCTTCCCCCAGTTTCTGGGAAGTGCAGGTGTGGAACATCTGTGGCCATGGCCATGTTCAGGGTCACAGAACATCCCCATCCCCACGGCTGCAGGGAGAGGCAGGAACTGGACTCACTGAGCCTTGTGTTGGGTGGGATTGAATATATTAATATTTGATGGAGCCTTGTACATCTATAAACATTTATAGCAAATGTTTGATCGCCAGCTTCAACAAGGGCAAGCCCAGCCTTTTTTAGATTTTATTCTTTGTGTTCAGGCTTTAAAAATAAAGAAGCTCAAGCACCAAGATTATTTACAAAGCTCCCTCTAGGAGAAGGAGTTTGGAAGTTACTTGGACAGAAGTAATTAACTTGGAGAATATACTTCAAACTGGGCCAGGACAAATGTCAAAAATCACAATGTAGAAAATAATTTGGAACTTAAGCAGAGAAGGCCTGATAAAATAATTGGTCTTTCTCATCTCTGCATTTTATAAATCCAGTAGAACCCACAGAAAAATGAAATAATCGCTTTTCTTATAATGCTCCCTTATTAGTAAAATCTGCATTAAAATCAAGACAATCCAATAAAAGGAAGCAAATGGGGCAACTAAAAAGAGAGCAGAAACTAACATGAAACATTTTGAAGAACCATAGTCAGGCCCAAATATTCCTCATTTGTCCCAGTTTGTGATTTCTATTCATCTTTAGCATTTTAAGTCTCAGAAACATTAAGGCAAAAGAAGATACTTCAAAACTGAGATGAGTTATTCAGTTCCAAGTTGCAGATTCAGATTTATGAAATGATAAATGATTGCCAGGCTGACAGAGATAATGAAGCCTAATTAATATGCTTCCACCCAGACCTCTATGCTTTATCTTTAGACAGGGAATCCACAGCAAAAGGCCAGAAATACTCAGGTGTTTATCTCATTTCTGCCCCTGAACCAGTGCAGGCTTGGGAAACCATCTCATTGTTACTGTAGAAAACCAGCTTTGGCTTTTAACATCCACCTTACCTTTGTCAGGAGATGAAAAATTAAAAAAAAAAAACAACAAAAAACCAACAGGAAGAAAAAAAAGTAAAAGTTCACTCAAAGTGAGTGTGAAGGCTAAATGGGTAGACAAGGGTTCACTCTACTTCTATAAACACCATCAGACTTGATGAGAAGAGAAATATTTCAACAGAAATCCCATTCCAGGTGCTGCCAGGATAATTTCCAATGACATGAGGATTTCAGTGTCTCTCTCTGGTGAGGAATGCAATGGTGCAATAAACCCAAACGCTGTAAATCCAGTATTAACGTGAAGTTTGCAGCACTTCTGGCAAAGCTTCCATGGACCAGGAGGCAAAATCCCATTCAAGAAGCACCTGGCATCAAGGGAACCATCTGATACTGTGCTGCTCTGGGAATTACTGATTTACAAATCACGTTTCTGCCCTGAAACAGGGCAGGAGCTGAGCAAAGCTGCTCCTCTCACTCAGTGCAAACCAGCTCTGAAGCTCCCATCTCCTGGGAGCTCTGCAGCGGTGTCTGACACCTGACAGGTGACATCTGCCAGCATCTCCTGTGCCACCAATGAGGAACAGAGCTGCACTTCAAACACAAACACACAAACCCCACCATGACTCTTTGCAGCACAACTAAACCCAGAACTGCTCAGAACCCTTAGGAGCTCAGACACAACCTGTACTTGGCTGTGACGGTGACAGACGATGCTTTACTCACCCTCAAAACCTGTTACTCACCTCAGGCAGGCAATGCTTTGCAAGGCTGAACTAATACCATTACCAAATAAAACCCCAGCCTCATCTCCAGGAACCTCATCAGTCAGGGACTGAAATGAACCTTCAGAGGCTGCAATGGAACGGAACCAATGCCTCAAGAGAAAGTGCCAGGAGCCACCAGCAAGCATTTAATGGCGTGAAGAGACTGTCTATGTCAGTGAAAGGAAACAAAGACAAAATTCAGAATTGAGCAATTCCAAGCTCCCCCCTTGCACTTCCTACTAATTTTTGTTTCCCACAAAGAGGGAAACGTTTTAACTACAAATCCAGGGAAATATTGCTCTGAAAGATCAGAGTGGGAAAAGGGCCTGGGAAGAGAGAGGGATGCTTTGGCTGGTATGGAGGAGAAGCAAAGACTTTTTGTCTAGGTTCCGCCACAGGATCACAAGATGAAGTCCTTGGGTTTTCAGGAGTTTGTCCAGCTCATTTGTACAACAGAGCCCTTCCAAGTTTCCCCTAAGCACACGATAACATATGGAATATGGTATGCTATTGCACTGGGGGACAAGTAAACAACACCATGGCAATGTGACCTCAATCAGCTCATAGGACCAGACAGCAAAATTGTGAGTTTACTCTAAACCAGCAGCTCCTCCTAGAACAAAGCCCAAAGCACTGTTGGAGCCTCTGAGCTGCTCATCTTGGTTTGCTGACACAGCTGTGTCAAAAACACACTCAGGTATCTATTCCAGCAGTCAGAGGAAAAGCACTGGCACAGGCTGTGGCTGCTGATTGTGCCTGTTCCACATCCACCCTCTCCCCTGGCGATGCCAGCCGGCATTCTGGCGTTCCCACAGAGCATCACACACCTGGCAGTGCTGTTCCTACAGAGCATCACACACCTGACAGTGCTGCCTGCTCCCACAGAGCATCACACACCTGGCAGTGCTGCCTGTTCCTACAGAGCATCACACACCTGGCAGTGCTGCCTGCTCCCACAGAGCATCACACACCTGGCAGTGCTGTTCCTACAGAGCATCACACACCCGACAGTGCTGCCCCCTCGAGTGGGACTGTTCCCCTTTGCCACCACACCCACCTTGCTGCCTCTCTGTAGGTTTGGGTGACACTGTGACAGCCGTGGGGCAGCAGCTCCTCTCTCCTGTCCTTACAGGCACTCAGTGCCGTGCTGGACAGCATTCTGACCTATTCCAAACAGACTGGGAGGGATGCAAAAGAAGGCACAAAACCTTATTCCATGCCCACAGAGTTAATGCTTTCTGTTCCTTCATGGAAAGAGAGGAGCAGAAACAGCGTGCACTTCCAGTTTTGTGGGTTTCACTGAGAGCCTTTGGTGCTGAGCTGCTTTCCCCAGCTCTCCCCTCCTCCTGCCTGGGAAGGGCAGTGACTCTGGGGAGGGCACCTGGCCACTGCCCCAGCCCTGCACAAACCTCTTTGGGGCTCAGCTGGGAGCCCAGGAATAACTCTGCAGGCCTGAAACCACAGAGCTGCCAATCCCAGTCCCTGGGAATCACCTGTAATCACTGCAACACTTACACACACTTCTGAACATCACCTGAAGCCACACAGGAATTACACACCTAAAAAACCTTCATGCTCTGCAGGAGTGACCCAAAGTAGAATCACAGAATCCTAGAATGGTTTGGGATTGGAAGGGACCTCAAAGCCCATCCAGTCTCAACCCCTACCATGGGCAGGGACACTTTCCACTATCCCAGGTGGCTCCAAGCTCTGCCCAACCGGACCTTGGACACTTGCAGGGATCCAGGGGCAACCAGGGCTATCCTGGGTAACTTGTACCAGGGCCTCCCCACCCTTAGAGAGAAGAATTCCTTCCTAAGATCTGATCTAAACCTGCCTCTGCCAGCATGAAGCCATTCCTGCTTTCCCTGTTGCTCCAGGCCCTTGTAAACAGTCTCTCTCCAGCTTTCTTGTAGGTTTGTTCCCTTTAGGCACTGCAAAGCTGCAATTAGGTCACCTCGAAGCTTTCTCTTCTCCAGGCTGAACAATCCCAATTCTCTCAGCCTTTCAAAAAGTTTAAAAGCTACAGCATAAATACGGTTGTCAAAACAAATCCTGTGTGATTCATGAATACAACCTCTACCTGTTTGCTTAGCTCTACCATGCATTTATCCCATCACTCTGCTGGATTCAATCAGAAATTTAAAAACCAAAACAAAACCAACAGGAGATGAGCCAAAAGATGCTAAACCCAGCAATAAAACACCCATTCCTTGGGGGTAAAGTATTTTACCAGTAAATTGAACCATTCTCTAGAAAATAATCTGTCAAATTTAGCAAAGCACATCTGCCCTCACACCTCACCGGTGGAGCACAGTGAGTGATGCTAATTAGGAGAAAGAGGGTTTGGTCAGATCTCTGTTGGTGTTGGTTACTAACTGATTCCACGTGCAGGAGTGTGCAGCTGCCAGGCTTCCTTAATAAGGACTCATTTGGTCATTTTTCCCCCAGTCTCCAATCTGATTTTTCATCCCACTGTGTCTCCTTCCTCCTGCTCTTGTGCCCATGCAGCACAATTGGAGGGCTTGAGGAAAGGCTGATATAGATTAAAAATTACAGAAAATATGGGACAGAGAGAACAGTGTGTGGGGGAAGAAGAACCAACACTGTAACTCATGAATCACCTTGTTATTTCACAGAGAGACTGTAAATGCCCAGAGTAATCACTGCTGTGGGTCAATCTGGTTTTGATCCAGTCTATGTACATTTCCTTGATATTCAAGCTGTGCAATTCTGAGAATGGGATTTAGGCCTCCAGAACATTTTCCTGCCCAGAGGTGAGCCATGGACTGGCACATGGACACTCCACACCTTATTGTCTGACAACACTCACAGTGGGATTGTTGGGGTGTGCTGTGCCAGGACTTGGACTCAATGATCCCCGTGGGTCCCTTCCAACTCAAGGTATTCCATGATTTTATGATCTCCACTGTCATCCTGAGAGGATCTGATTCCATGTCCCAGTGTCAGGCTTGCAGCACATGTCATCTCTCAAAAACTACTAGCACTAATAGCAAAGGACAAGGGGGTTACACTGAAGCTTCACCCTCAACACCAATAGATTATATTGTCATACCCAGAGGTATCTGCACTAAACACTTTGCATGAAGACAGAAGTGAGATAAGGGCTAGCCAGGCCTTCTCCTGCTGATAGACCAACACAATTTTAAGTACATTTAAAGTAAGACTGCAGACACTGCTTCAAATAAATTCACAATGCTACTTCTAAAAATCAGTGTGAAGACTTAAAAGTTCAGTAAATAAAGAACCGGTGATAAAATTGCTGACAAACAGCATGGTTGATGGAAGGAAAACACACCCTGGGTCCTGAGGAGTCAGTGGGGCAGCAATGGTCTGCAGAGCACATCTGGCTGTGTACCCACCCGCCCTCCTGCAACTTGCTCATTATGGCAATGAAACCCTGAAGACAGAGAAAATCACCTCTGGCCAAGCCAAACGGAGCTGGCCCTGCACAACCTGCCCAGCAGTTGTACCCAGCAGCTCAAACTGGGCTCTGAGTCCACCCCAGCACTCACCGGGAATTACAATTCATTTCACACACGTTCAGCTTTAATGGGATTACTTGCAATATAAGGTGCAATCAATTTTAGGGCAAAACCAGCGCACAGAGGCCAAAAACATCCTCTGTTTTAATTGCATCTGTAATTACTTTGTAAAACTGCAATCCAGCAGATTACCCTGGGGACTCCTATTAATCATTATTACTTATCTCCCACGGCCAAGCAGGAATACTCGCTCAGGAAAAGACTGTTCCCATCCTCAAAAACATATAATCTGAATAGATTATAGATCATGAACTGAAGAAGAAAAACGCTGATTAGACCACGTCAGACTGCTCTTAATTGCTGTGTAGGGAAGGAAAGTTTGAAGCACCAAGTCTGTTTTCCCTCCTTTTAACTTCTGTTTTACTATATAATAAAACACAGACCTAAAAGGTCTGTTACAATTTGGCACAAAATATCAGAGCTCTTTATCCCTTAATCCCAGTTACAGGCTATTCTTAAAAACTTATCTGGGCAGTAATTGAATAAATTAAATGTTTTCATAGTATAAATCTAATCCGATTTCTTGCAGCACCAGGAGCCCATAAAACTGTCCTAATCTCTTTCTCCTGACACCAAACATCATTCAGACTGTCCCACACCGACCCCTACCCGCAGCCGATCGATACTTTTGAATTATTGTATTTATTCCTCTATTTATTCAGCGCGGACTTCCCCTCCCAAAATCCCCATTCCATTAGTTCTGCACTTTGAATTTGCTGCCAGAAAGTTTGATGGTTTTTTGGTTTTTTCCGTCATGTAAAATCTGTTTTCAAACTTAAATCTTTCTGGTTTTCGGGAGGTCTCCCGGAACTGTTTCTACTGCACTGGATTTATATGTTTGTTAATATTTTTGAGTTGTCACAGTCCCGAGGAGTTCCACCGGCCGGCGCCCAGACGGGATAACCCCAATTTTCTCCTCAACTCCTTGGGTCAAAACTGGGCAACCACCACCTCAGAAACTGTAAATACTTTGTGACCGTGCAAAGAACTTAAGCCCGCGTCCTACCGGCAACCATCGGCGGGTTTGCGGTGAGTTTTGCCCCTTATGGGGGTTTAAACGCACTTTGTGTCCCGCGGGGCCCCAGCAGCCCCG